ATGACGGGCTGGGGTTGAGGCCGAGAGGTGTTGAAGGCTGTCAAGACACGAAGTGCGGCGGGGAAACGAGTCAGAGCAGCAGACCATTCTCAGATGGAGTCACGCAGCCGGCAGACGATGTAAACTTTCGGTTGCTAGACGCTAAATCCTTGTCGTCAACTTATTTCCATCGATTGCTGACGATTTCACGTAGACCCTGTTGTGCGTGCCTCGGAGACACATGACGGGAAACCACATCCTGTCTGTGCTTATGACCCACCAGGCACATATGCTTATGTCCTTCTGTATGTGTGTGTGTGTGTTTATGTGTGTGTGAATGGTTGGCTTGCATGCGCACGAGCTGCGTGCTTTGATGGGCCTGTGAGATCAAGGCATTTGGTAGAGTCAGCCGGTCCGACTTGATCGTAAACAGACGAGACGGCCTGGACGAGTCGGGCTTGATAGAATAAACAAACGAGTGGCACCATTTCAATCTGGACGAGCTCTTGTCTGGAGCCAACTGGTGCTCGAGGAGTGCCATGCATCCCATCGAGGCTGACGAAGCCTCGCATTCGCCGCTTCTCTGCCGTCTCAGGCGGGTTCCGCTCTCTCCTCTCCGGTCAGGCCCACAATAGGCAAACTTGTCTGTCACTGCGACCCAAAGTGCTACTTAATTCTGATGAGTAGTCACGTCACCATTAGTAATTATTGAACGGGGATTCAGCCTGCTGGTTATTTATTTTTTCAACTCGAGAATTAAGACAATTTACGGACCGACAGTTGAGTTTTTCCACAATCAGATGGGCACGTTCCACGATATTACTGCAGTTTATAAGTTCAGGCCGATTGGAAACTACCACAATTCCCCGGGCATTTGTTAGCTCTCGCGAGGCGCCACCCATCGGAGATGGACCTCTGGAAGGGTGCAGGCGCCAGGAGCCCGAACCGACCCCAGACGACCAAGTAACGGAGTCGTCAGCCTAGGCGACCCGGTGCTATTACAATTCTGGTTGGCGAATCCAACTAAAGCTGATTTATTGAGTTAGAAATTGAGAGCTACTGACAGTTTCTGGGCCCATTAACACCGGACAACCAAGCCTTTTTTCCAGTCGTCCTCTCTCTCTCTCTCTTCCCGTCTAGCTTGGGACCATCGGTCTGAAGAGAATCGAAGACCTTCCGTAGGTCTTTGTCTTCTGCCCGTCGTCGGGAGAAGTGAGTCATCGTCAGCACCAACAACACCGACGTCCGTACCATCAACATCAACATCAACATCAACATCACAGATCGAGGGCAGGAGATACGGCCTCACCAAGAGAGGGGTAATTGGGGAACCCGAGAAAACGGTTGCTGGGATGGAGTTACGGAGAGAGGTAGCGATAAACTCGTCCAGAAAGAGAAGGGACGTGGAGGGATGGAGTAAACAACTTTATTGAAAAAGTAAAACGCGAGAAAATAGACAGACAGATCTGCGGAGGATAAAACTAATGGGGACATCGGAGATAATGATAGTGAATAAACAATAAAAACGAAGGACACATTATAGTTAGCGGTTAGAGAAAAGGTGGAGGATAGGCAAATAAAGGTACCAATAGCATGTGCGATCGGAGATGCATGTAGAGGCCGGACAGAATGACAATCAACGAAACACTGAATCCGAAGTATATTTTCAATATCTACAATAATCTTTAAAAAAAAGTTAAATAAAGGCTAATAAGTCTAGCCGGCAGAAAACAGAAGACATACACAGACATAGTAAAAAGAATACAATAAGGATTGACAAATAATCTAAAGTATCTTCGATACAAAATGACCTTATCCCTTCTCTCCTCGAGGCCTTCTTCCCTCTGGACAGTATCGGGCAAGATTATCGCCAATCGACAGTGCGAGTTGTGGGTGTGAGTGTGTGTGGGTGTGCGTCAAAAAATGTAATGAACGGAGCCAGTCCACAGAGCTATTGGATTGCACTATGGTGGCGTTGGTGAGCAGGGCACATGAGTTGTCGTGCGTGAGAGCCGCCCAACATTCGGAAAAGTAGAGCCTGACGTTGCAGCTGGCGCTGGTGTTGGAGCTCCTCTTGGCGGAGTTGGTGCTGCAAGTGGAGACCGTGCAGGTGTTGGTGGTCGGTCGTGAGGAGGTGGCCGGACTGCGCGGAAAGAGGTTGTGGAAGTGGTGGTGGTAACGGTGGCGACGAGACACAAGACGGAGTGGGCGTGCAGATGGAGAAGGAGAAGGAGGAGCTGGAGTGCGGCGAGCACGAGGCGGAGGTGGAGAGGGTGGCGTTGCTGTAGCCGAAGGGGTTGGCGAAAAAAGATGAGTCGAGCAGCCGGTCCGAGGCGGCGAGAAAGGAGGAGGAGGAGGAGGAGGCGGACAAGGAGCCGGCGACTGCGGACTCCGGGCCGGAGGAGCAGGCGTCGGCGAGCTGGCGTGCCAAGGGGTGCGGCATACCGGCGCACGGACTCCAGATGCCGTGGTTGCCATGGGTGCTGTCGCTGTTGAAGCGGGGCCGCAGGAGCCGAGGCGGAGTGGCGGGCTTGGCCGAGGGGGTGGGCTCGAAGAGGAGGCGCTTGGCAGACGAGGAGGACCAAAGGGCGGGCAGATGATGATCGAAGTCGTCGCTGTTGCAGCAGTAACCGTTGGCGTCGCCGTTGGCGTCGCCGTCGCCGTCGTGAGGCCCGGCCCGACTGTAAAAGCGGGAGAACTCGGATTGGACGAGCGGAAGGGAGGAGGTGGTTGCTGCGGCGGCGCGCTGCAATTGCTGGCTCGACGTCGGTTGGTGCTTCCGCTGCCAGGGCGACAAGACGCGGCTGTACCGGCGGACGTCGGGAGGCGGGCCGTGGCGGGCGGAGGCGGCGTTGTCGGGGCTGGTGTTGGGGCCGGTGGCGGGCGTGTGAAGAGGGAGTGGAGTGGGCACGGCGGGAGAGAGAAGGTGGAGCAGGTCGAGGCGCTCGAAGCGCTCCAGGTCGGCCTCGGAGAGCTGCAGAGACGCGGGGTCCATGAGATCGAGAAGACGAGCAGAGCACGCGGCCCCCGAGTCGACAAAGGGCCCGTTGGCCTGCGCACCGGCTCCAACCTGATCGCCAACATGACACGGCGCCAGGTTGCTGTTGCTGTTGCTGTTACTGCTGCCGCTGGCCAACGCGGTCACGAGCATCGAGTTGGGCAGTGCGCTGGAGGTGGTGAGAGGCTTAATCTGGGGGCAGTAGCGGATGGTGTGCGCCTGGTCTCCTGTCGCACCACAGGCCGGGCAGATGAACTGGCGCAGCTTGGGGCAGGAGACGCGACCAAGCCGGTCCTTGACCTGAGTGGAGTGGAGTGGAGTGGAGTGGAGAGAGGTGAGGAAAAGAAAGGAAAGGTGAATTGGAGTTCAAATTAGATGAGATTAGATGTGATTATAGGAAAGCAGATGAGATTAGATGTGATTAGATGTGATTAGATGTGATTAGATGAGAGCAGATGAGATGAGATGAGATGTGATTAAATAAGATCAGATCAGATAAGATAATATCAGATCAGATCCGATTAGATGAGAGCAGATGAGATGAGATAAGTTGAGATGAGATGAGTTGAGTTGAG